GAGCTGGAGTATTTAAGCAGGAAGTAGATGAGTTGATTGGAATCAGGTGAGGAGATGAGCCAGGTGCCAGGAAGGTAAGCCGTGCCCACAACATATACACATAGACACCCAAAGGGGGCGGGGACAGGTAAATACACAGAGAAGACTCACATTCTCCTTTGTTTAATCTGTACACAAACCAAAATTTTAAAATGATCAGTTGTGCTTTTCTGGGGAGTTGGGTGCTGAAACTGTTTCTTAGCCCAGCACTAATAAGTCCGTCTTCCTCACGCATACCAGCACATACAGAGACACATGCACCTGCTCGTTCAGGTTGCAAAATAAGGCATTCCCTCATGGGTTTGCCTTTCCCACATATGCACGCACATGTGCCGTCTCATTATGAGCTGAACACTGTGTAGCCTGCAGCTTTGGCTGAGTCTCTGAGTCCATCATTCATTGTCTGCCTCTCAGATGGCGGAGTCTTCTGCTTGGGGAAAAGCTCTGAAAGAAGCAGCTCAATCTCTGGGAGAAAAAGACAACATCAGTTCACACAAGCTGTTGCACTTTTGGAGCCCAAATTGCCCATGACACACCCGGAAAATCCCCATTTCTTCTCAATATGACACGTCACCTGCCATCTCCCCTGGGTGGCAGTTGATCAGTAACAAAAACAATACGCGGGGTAAAGTGTTTGGGAACAGTGTGTCAAAAGTGTCCTATCTGAAAGCTGTTAGCTTTATTTTCTGCTAAAAAATATCCAGTATCATCAACTACCGTCTCGTCTCACCAGGAATAAATCTATGTTAAACATGAAATAAACATTACATTTGAACTGGCAGCACACGCACACACATACACACACACACACACAGATCCCGTTGAGCTGTTGTTAACCTGGATTTACAAAATAAGACAAGTTGTCATATAGGATAGATGACTGTTGTTTGGAGCTTCTTTGATGCTTTTCACATGTTATTCACATCACACAAACTCATGTCCTGTTCCCAGCATGTCTCGTGTGTGTGCATAACGTCTTCACTTGGGTGTGTGCTTATGTGTGTAAAGCTGTCCCCCTGATGTCCCATCATTGCAGATAATCATCCCATAGTCATGCGTGAGATGCGATTTCCTTTAAACAATAGCAGGCCAGCTCCCCCTCGCTGACCCCCAACCTCTCAGTCTGCGGCAAAAACAAACACGTGAGCGCACAACCACACACAGACATTCCTCTTAGCTTGCATTAACAGCAACACATGCACATTTGAATACACACACACACACACACACACACACACACACACAGCCACCGCAACTCAGCCTCCATCCGAGCAGTGGTGATGGCACAGTCTCTTTATGTTGCTGCTTATTTAACCTCCTTTAAAGTAGACTTTAATAACTGAGGCCAAATGCTTGTCAGTGCAGCTGTTCCAGCCTGACCTTAACTACTGGATAGCGGGCAAGACACAAACTAATACTAATGATTTCCCTGCCAAGAGGAAAAAAGGGAAGCGATTGTTAATGCCCAGACCTGTCTTTAACAGAAATGATTGTAATTTAGTTGAAATGAAGGACTTGGAGAGTTTGGTTGGCCTACATTGAGTGCCAGGGAGAATTCAGCTGGCTCCTGCCCTGCTAGCCAAACACAATCCATCACAGCAGTAGTCTGTCTGTTCAGATTTGTGTTGCATAGACACAAACGGAGCTCCTATATTTAGCTTGAAATGTTTTTTTTATGTAAAGATAATGATTTTGTCTCATTTAGCCCTGTAGTGTGTGTCAATCACCTGTCAATCAAATGTTGTGGCCTGTCCTGTGACAGGATTTTCTGTTGAAGATTGTTGATTATGAGATGTGTGTAAGAGGTGCTCTTTCTTTGTCACTGTGGTTCCACTTCAATCCACCTTCTTTTATGTTGAATAGAATAAATACTATACTTTACAGTGGTGGAAGTACTCCAATGCAACTGTGTACAAATATATAGAAGTATACATAAATATTGTCAGCAAAATGTACTTAAAGCATCAAAAGTAAAAGTACTCGCTCAGCTGGAAAATGGCCCCTGTGACCATTTATAATTATATATCACATATATCACATATTAATACCAATGCATCAGTGTACATTCATGATTTTACTGTTATAGATAATCAAGGTGGAGTTAGTTTTAAATACGCTATATACAGTTGAGTATTTAGTTCAGTGAGATTTGAGGTGAGATGATTCATGGGATAGGACAGAATAAGAATAAGATAAAGAAACAACAGCTTTGCACCACAATATATTATTTTCTAATTTTATTTTTGACTTTTCTATATTACTTCTCCGGGTTGAACAGTTATTTAAATAAAACCATCTGAAAAGATTATAAGGGCAAATGTCTCATGGCTAGCAATCCATGGAGCCAAGTAGGTAGGGAGCCACAGGTTTATTCTTTAATGATAATAATAATAATGAATTACATTAATATAGCACTTTATCGTAGATACTCAAAGCGCTTCACAGTGAAGTGAGGGGGACTCACCTCAACCACCACCTGGGTGATGCACATTGGGGCAGAGAGGGAGGGAAACATTGAGCCAATTACTATGGGGGATGATTAAATGGCCAGATGGAGAAAGCCAGGTAGGGAATTTTGCCATGGCACCGGGGAACCCCCTACTCTTTGCGACAAGTACCATGGGATCTTTAATGACCACAATGAGTCAGGACCTCGGTTTAACATCTCATCTGAAGAACGGCGGCTCCTACAGCGCAGTGTCCCCATCACTGCACTGGGACATTATTATTAGGACCAGGGGAAAGACAGCCCACTACTGGCCCACCAACACCACTTCCAGCAGCAACTCCCAACAGTTCTCCCATCCAGGTACTGGCCAAGCCAAAACCTGCTTAGCTTTGGTCAATCAGCAGTAGCAGGGTTTACATTGGTATGGCTGCTGGCAATGATGCATTGTGCATGATTTGTTTTTTTTATGTAAAACATTAATCTGTCACTGTAACTAGTAACCATGTTGGTTACCTGTTACAGTGTTGGTTACCTGGCACCTGTTAAGTAACATTGCCAACTGAAATGTAGTGAAGTAGAAGTATAAAGTGGGAAAAAATGGAATGTACTGAGACTGCATATAAAGTGGAGTCTATAACTGATAGTTTCACAAAATACTAGGCTACGTCCTGACAAAGCTTGAAACATTTTTTTCAATGGATGTACATTATGTTGAAAAAAAAAAACAACAATAAAAAGGTGCTCATGCGCAGGTGAGATTCTCCGTCCAGTTGCATTATTTTCTGTACCATAGATAAGCAAAATGTATATGAAACATTCTGAGAGATATTGCAACATGAGTAGTGGGAATGGTAATTTTTGCATTTCATATTCACTGAAAAAATAAATAAAAACGATGATGTGATTTTTGCTGGGGTCTGTACCAAACAAGCATGTTCCCTTACGTCTGGACAACATGATTTGTAGGCCGGGTCATCTTTGTATCGCAGTGCTTCATTTATAATGGCATGTTGTGACACGTGTTGCCAATTTACCTACCATGGAAACCAGTTATAGATTTTGTGATTACCCTTAATCAATTTACGCTCTCACACAGGTCTGACCACTTGAATTGATTAAGTTATTGCCATTAGCAATTAATGTTGTGCTTTTTGAAGGTGACTCAGTGCAGCAGATGTCTTTTCATGGTATTTTCAAGAGACAGAAATAAACGTTCATTCAACATGAAAAGGTTGAAAGCTTTAATCAATCCATGATAGCTTCATAATTATCAATAACACACGTTGGAGCATTCATGTAACTACTTTCACCAAGTTTATATAGGAGGGCAGGCCCTGCTCAAAAACAGGTGAATAGATGAATTTCATTAATTTTGTAGAAACCCATAACTCATGTAATTACACACCCATTTATTATAAGGTGACTTACTGCATGTGACAAGTCTTTTAGCATCTTGGCAAATGTGATCACTCCAGCACTGAAATAACTGAGAATCACTGTTCTCTAACGCATCAGGGGGCTGCAGAAAATGGGGTAAAACCTCAGATGATACATTTATCAAATCATTATTATCATTACAGTGTACTGGTACTGATTGGAAGTCATGGTGTGTGACATGAAGTGGCAGTAGTTTATCTCTGGAAGTGGAAAATGATTTCACTCGTTTTTATTTTAAATTATATTCACTAAATCTAAAAATGTATGTGTAAAATACATGTAGATATATGTAATTATTTTTTAATCATGAAATCTTGTGGAACAAACTTGAGTTACATCGTAGTTTAATGCATCGTGCAGCACATGTTAATGGGAATCCCATATTATGTACATTTTTCTGCTGATTAAATTGGAGAATCAGTGCTCCGATGGCAGAAAAAGACATGATTTTCACATCTGAGGTCCAATTTAACTAATTATCACAGCAGCATGACTAGTCTCTAATAACAGCAGACTGGTGTGATGGACTCAAGTGATCCCAGGAGAGGAAGGCCTAACATCCGCCAGTCAGCCAAAGTGCAGCTGGAGAGCTGCAGACATGAGCTGCACTGCTGCAGAAACATGTTCTTAAATCCTACCCTGGGAAATTATGGATCAAAACTAGTGTGTCATGGCTCTGTTGCTTCTGCCTTGTGTAACTGTGGCAGCAGTTAATAAGATAGTCAATGAGCCGAAGGGAGCAATATGTTGGATCTACAGAGAAGGATCATATAGGGGACATCAAGCAGCCAAGCAGCAGCAACAACGGATTCCCCTACATCATACACTGATGTCAATGTCAGTTTCAAGGTCAACTAGTCAGTGAGCTGGCAGAACAATTAGTCATGTTCGCAGCCTCAATACAATTTTAAAATTGGCTCAAGTATGAATATGTTTCAAAATAACCCTTTCCACTTTCTGTAACAAATAACTGTTATGCATTGAAAGGTACGACGAGGGATGAAGCAAGGATGGACGAGTTCATATTGGAACGTATCCCGTAGAGGAACCTGTCCGGGGCTGGCTCCTCCCCTACTAACACTACTGTCTGCTCACTCCGTTACAGAACCAGGCAGAGATGTTGTCTGCTATTCGGTGTAATCTTCTACCAGTTATCAAACTTTACCTGCTTGGTTTGAAGGTTCTGTTGGTTCAGCTGTTCAGCAAACCTTTCAGGTTGCCAGGTCAGTTCTTCTGACGTTAATCCCAATAATCAAAGTTCAGGCTAGTGTCACATTCCGTAACGGGGCAAGCTTAAGTTATGGTGTTGTGAGCAAAGACTGTACGGTTGTGAGTCATGACAGGTTGTCACACTGTGGTTAGCAGCTGGCTAAAGATCATATACCGTAGGGATAATTAAAAACTTTACATTTTGCTAGGTGCCCGCAGAGACTAACGTTAACGTAATGCTAGGTATGTCAACGTTAGCTAATGCTAGTTAAACAAAAATGCAAAAGTCAGTGAAATAAAGTGTTGAATTGTTTATTATCAGTGCCGAATTCAACAAAATAGCTTAACGCTTCCTCCTCTTATCAAGATATGTTCTTTTAAGCGTTTATATTTGTCGCCAAGCGATGTGAAATTAGTTATTTTCCTTTTTTAAACGCAGTTTGGGCTGGTGTAGCTATTAACGTTACACTCGGTTATCCACATTCATCATCATATTTAAAAAACACATCATTACCTGATGAAGACCACATACTAGGGAACCTGATTAAAGAAGAAGAAGGATCAGGAGTGGGAAGTGGGTGGGTACTGTGGCCAGAAAAACCCCATCCCCTATAATGCCACTTTTAGGTTACATTACAGAGAACATATACTGTAACAAGGCTGATATCGATTCATCTGGGGTACAGTTTCCTAATTGAGATAAATGCTGGTACTGTTCTTGCCCACTATAGATGTCCCACCTTACTATGGCTATAATAAGTGTTTTGTTAGTCTTTTTTCAGGCAGGATTTCTACTTTTGTGGGAAACCAGTCAGCTTGTTCCTCAAATCCATTTTAAGAAAACTCTACAGGCAACTCAGTAAAACTGTAAGATACAGCATTCTTTTAAGAGGCAAAGGAAACATGTTACACAATACCATAGGTCCATCTGAGTGTCACAGGCCATCTACAGGTCTAACTACAAGGATTTCTCATGTCATGTCTCGAAATAACGGCCTGTCTTGAAGGAGCTTTCTTATCAAATTACATTGTCCCTGATATCTGTGTGTCCTCTTGTGCCTCTGTCAGTGATGCCCAGACAAGATGGCAAGGTTGCCATAGTGACAGGAGGAGTCAGGGGAATCGGCTATGAGGTAGCCTGCCACATGGCCAGACTGGGGGCGCATGTTATCATAGGTACAGTATCAAGCACTACACCACTGACACGCAAGCAGGACTAATCACAGGAGATGCAACCTTTTGTATGTATGATAGAGAGAGGTTGACTTCCATCTGTTTACACTTGAATCTACAACCACAACAACAATAATACATATCATTTATTTTTGTTGTCCCTTTACAATAATATAAAATGCAACAAACAAAAAAAACATGTTAGAAACATAACAAACCTGGGCAAAATAATGTGCGCAACAAACTAAAGAAAAATGGTTGAAGCCCTTTAGATAAAAGCAAGGATATTAAAGTAAATTTTGAGAAATTAGATTAACCTCAGTAGATGGTGAGTGTTGTTCCTCAAACTTCAGGCACATTCCTAAATCCTCAGAATAGTTTTTTCACTTTGCAATAAATGCACCCTGGAGAGTTTGAGACAGTATTCTGTCAGACTTAAAATGAAGGATTTCTAAAGTTTTACATCTGTTATTGGAGCTTTCTGTTAAAGGGGTATTTCAAAATGGGCGCTACATTAGAGTTACTGGCATGATAAAATACCTGTTTTGCCTTGGCTGATTGCTCTTTTCATTACATGCATGGACATAGGAGTGGAAAGGTATACTACCGTAAATGCAGTTTTACACAGTTGGCTGGACACCTTGATAAGTGTAGTACTTTTGAATTTAAATCTCGTAAAAATAAAAGGAAGTCCCGGTCAGACTCACGTGTCAATATCAGCAAACATGACACAGCACAATGTTAAAGCACTTGCTTGCACGATACATGGCTCACAATAATGGTAATATCACGATACAGCAATTCACAATATCTGTCTAACTATAATTACAAAATGCTTGTGAAAAAGTTTTCTCTATTTATTTGCTTCAAATCCAAACTGTTAGAAAACAGCACAATTCTGCAATACACATTTTTCAGTCTATAAATTAAAACTACAGAACTACAGAGCAGCTATGAAAAATTACTATAAAAAACATTTCTTTATAAAAGGCACATAAAATGTAAATTTACTGAATTTTTTCAGTCTAATATGTACATCACATTATACTGATAACTGTTCAGTGACACAGCATTGTGCTGCCCTGTCTCCACCTAGTGGTAGCTGTATTTTTATGTATCGATATGATGGGCTGGAATATCGATACAGTATAATGGAAAAATGTATAACGATATATGGCTCAATTTTTTGGCACACCCCTAAGGCTGACATTCGTTTCACCCAGTTGTGCATCAGTAACACAGGGAGAACTGAAAAGACTTGTCAGGCTGTGTAGAGGACAGTTAACAGTTGTTGTGGTTTAGTCACACAAGGGTAAAGCAATGAGAACATGGTTTTCTTGTTGAGTGACAAGTTAGGTAACATTATTACAACTATAGGAAAGTAATAAGCAGTTAGAAATGAATTAATTTCCAAACACTGGTCTCAAATACGCAGGATATTCCTCACACCTCATGACTCAGACTGCAGAGGGATATCAAACTCTGGATAATAAAAACTATCTGCATGGCTCGGTCTAAAGGGTTGGGTGGGAAAACACTGTCCATCTTCATAGCTGAATATCATGTGGGTTGAGTTGATTGAAATTATATCTTCTTATGATATACTAATCTGTGTTGTACAGTGAACACTCTCTCTACAGCTCTGCAGTGCCAGTCATTTGGGAGGCGTCCTCTGTGTGTGTCTACATGAAAGGCTGTGGCTGTCAGAGATCCTTAATTAGTATCAGGCGGTCAACAGCGCATTCAGATGCCTCTTGACAATCCGTTGATCTGTCTTAAGGTTTGGAATAACATCAAAACTGTTTGTTTTTATCATTGGAAAATATGTGTGATGCTCATCTGTGAGATGATGACTTTCAGAGCTCTGCTGGGACTAAAAGGCTTTTATCAAACCAAGTGTTAAATGCAAATTTAGAATTTTGATCAGCTTTTTTGCATAAAACAAGGTCTGGCATTGTTCCATTAATTATTTAGTAGTATTTTCTGTTGGTCTTATAAAGTAAAATGACTAAAATGCTTTATACCATTTTTTTAGTATCTACGTGAAACTTCATCATATTTACTGCGCGCAGAAACAAAAATACCAAGATTTCAAATGTATAAAGAACGTGACCAATATCCATCCATCCATCGTCAACCGCTTATCCTGCATACAGGGTCGCGGGGGGGCTGGAGCCAATCACAGCTGACATCGGGCGCAAGGCGGGGTACACCTTGGACAGGTCGCCAGTCCATCGCAGGGCTACACATAGACGAACAACCACTCATGCCTACGGACAATTTAGGGTCACCAATCAACCTAGTCCGCATGTCTTTGGATGGTGTGAGGAAGAGAACCCACGCAGACCTTCTTGCTGTGAGGCGACAATGCTAACCACTGCACAACCGTGCCTCCCTGACCAATATCCAAACTGTGTAAATGGTTAAAAATAACAAATTATGTCAGTAGTCCTGCATTTATAGCTGCTACCGTCAAAAGTTTGATACAAAAAAACACAAAGACTTTAAGATACTTAATATTCACAACTACTTATGTACATGTGCATAGAGAGTCAGCTAAATGAACTTCCTTTGTCCATTTATATTTATCTTCATCTACAGTATATATCTCTCTTTCATCCTTCACTTGAAGTGTCGTCTAGTACCTACTTAGCAAGGTGATGTGCTGCATTGATCACTCACTCATCCTGGATCCCCCGAGCGACTAGATTAAATATGTTGATCACGACACCTCTGAAGTCTCCCCTGTCTTTCTCTTTAACGTTATGCATTACAAGGCTCCATCTGTGATTAACGGTTCAGCTCCTTCACACACGTCAGCGTTTTGTTGAGCCCTTTCTGAGTCTTGCCTCTGAAGTGAACATGTATGAACATGTATGAAATGTAAATAGGCCTCTTTGTGACAAAGGAACATGTTTTTCTCCCACACAAACCGATTTGTTGTTGGATCTGTTGTTGGCCGTTGAATAACAGCAGTCTATATTGGTGTGATTTTCTGCACCTTTTAGACTGATGAAGGAAGAGCCTCATGCTGTAAGAGAGCTTTGCATTGTGGGTGTGATGTAGCCTGTTGTTGCCAGTGAGCCAAGGCAACAAAGCCTTCGGAGTTGTAATTTTCAATGCTGTTGTATGGTGTTTGTACAAGAGTTTCATAGAGAGCTCTGGCTTCACAGCTTGTCTGTGGGCATTTGTTATGTTGTGGTGCAGATGAGGAAAATAAATTCCCTTCTTAAAGAGAGGCATTATCTCCCAAATACTTATGGCTGAAACGTTAATTTCCGTGCTGCACGTAAGCGAATGTTTACTGGTTTGTTCAGAGACGTTAGCATGGCTGTGCAGGTAGAGATATCTGCATTTATCTTCTTAGCAGAAGCATACTTCCAGTTTTAACTGCAGACATAGACAACTGTTTCCACCTTAGAAGCTTAAAACCTTAAGTTCCTGATAAACAGAACTGGCACAGACAGCAGGGTGGGCACACAACTCTGTGCATTGGTTGTCTGTGGATGTACTAGACACATGTGCAGTTGCTGCACTTGTTGGGACTTACAGTCCTCGTGGTCTTACATTTTAGTTGATGTCCACACAGAAGTCTGCATCACTTGGACTCTCTCAGATACGCAGATGCAGAAAAGATAATCTGGTCTTCAGAAACCAAACCATTTCTGCTTGTCCAGATGCTCCTAACTAAATTCCAGAGCCAAAAATCTGATTGTGAAGTGAGTGTTGTTTTTTGTGTGAGTGTGCATTGCATGCTTTTATCAGTGAAATGACAGGAAACAAGGGCAGAGATAGAGATGGCAGTGACATGCAACAATGGTCCCTGACCAGACCCGTACCCAAGGTCAGCATCTTAACTCCTAACTGTGCATTCAGGGTTTTATCGCTGGACATCCCTGGGGTGTTCACACAAAACGCGATGATGCGAATAAACGCAACTCGCCATTATTATAGCTGTATGAACCCAAAGTAAACATTTTGCAGTGATTAAATAGCAATAAACGGATCAAACTGATGCCGAAATAACTACAATATGATGCAGATTTGTTAAACATATGAATTCATGCTTTGTCAGGTCTGTCAGCAAGACAGCAGGACAACTTCTAAAATGTTTGTTTTCAGGGCTATGCTATGATTACTTGGTCATAGTAAAGTACAACGATAGCTGGAATAAAGTTACATACACATGTTTTCTGAACTCACCAGGTAGTTCAACCTCCTTGCTTTCTTTTCTCCCAGCAATGTCCGGTTTTTATATAAAAATTAAGTAGTGAAATCGCGGCTCTATGCATCTTTGCATTGACTTTGTATGTAAACTCACTGCCCCCAACGCTCGCTTCGCTTTTGGTCTGAAAGCTCCATAAGACACCAGGAGACATGAGTGTGTGTTTATGCATAAACATAAATGTTAAAATATTATTACAGTAATCCTATGAAAAAAAACAGCATTTTTTTAAGCAAAGCTTGGTAAAAGAAATGCACAACAACTGATGTGTTAAAGTGACAGGCCTTATCATAATCTGCCCGACTTTGTCTGAATCTTTTTATATACTGATGGCATCCTGTTTAATTGTTTGTATTGTTGTGCTTTGTTCTTTTGTCTGGAGGGTTTAGCCAGGGATTTGTGTTTTGAGGAAGTGCATTTTTCTTTTCATCTAAGATTTTTCCCCTGCAACACTTCGCAACTGGCAGCTGAGCGAACTTCCATTAGCATTCTCCTCAAATGAACTCTCCTGTGGGGCTTGGTGTCATTCAGCTGCTCCCATTAAACTAACAGCGTCAAGTTTTACTCTTTACAATCACTGGGTACGGTTTCAACTGAAGTCAGTCATCAGAATTAGCCACAGGTTTTTCAAAGACTTGTGGTCATGAAGAGAGTGTTTCACTTGTCACAGCTAAACAGGGATTTTACCTTCACTTGAACTGTTTTACCTAATTCACAAATTACAGAGAGGTTGTACTTCCTGCCCAGAGACTGCATGCAAATGAACTCGAATAATTTT